AAAGCTGGCCTCTCGATAGTTTTGTAGTCCTAGTTTAGATTTATTGGCAAATCAGTACTGAAATAAAATCTTTTTTCTCGGGTTTGAAGCTTTGTATTCACGTATTTACTCTCTTTCTTGTTCTATTCAAAGTTGACACAATTTTTAGGTTATTTAATTTTTAAACATAACTTCTTATGATCAACTGTTTTCAGGCTGACCTTAAGAAACTTTTTTGATCTCTACATTACATAGGTAGAGCTTTTTAAAACCTTAATGCAAATACTAAAATGAAAGTTATCTTCAGAAACATGAGGCATATTTCTCTGTATCATTTGTTGAAGTAATAATGACCTTACTGCATTCGGTTCCCCCTGTGCGTTAGGTCCAAGGTTCTCTAGACAAACATCAAAATGAATGGCCGCTGCTCAACATTCAAATGTTTTTTAAATTAACCCATTTTCATCGCTAATTCTTATGGTTTGGCTGAACACTTCTCGTCTTCTTAACTTTGCATAAATTGGTTTTGATTCCTTTTGTATTATTCATTATTCGTAAAGCACAAAGGAAAACACTTATTATCAAATCGAAAGAACTGCAAGTATTTTCCAATTTCTGCAAATATTTTCAATTGGTAGTTCTTAGTCTTTTAGGATTATTATGAACAGCAAGCTATTCATATGATTACGAGTAATAGAATGACTCGTTCTTCTTTTAAAATTAATACCTAGACAACGGCAGGAACCTAATTATAGTTTCTCAGTAAAATCTATTATTTGAAATAAAGTCAATTTTGCATCATCTTATGCCTATTAAACAGTGAACTCAATCTCATGGGACTTACGTGGTATAAATGTGTAAAGATATTTTGGGTGTCATCAGCACAATAGAATTGCCACTAATGTTACACATACGAGATTATACCCAATCCTTTCGCCACGTTTAGCTTTTCCTCATGCCGCGTATTTCCGCCAGAATAAAAACCCTCGGTCGCTACAAGCAGACAAAAGCCCATGGGATATGCAGGGCAATTTCACGCACCATAAAATTAACTATGGCAGTGACAGAATAATCTTGACGCTCTCAAAACTACAGCTTTTATTACGTGAAATATCTACTTTTGTCGGCATGTAACGTGTGAGTTATGTGTATTATGTTTTGATAAGTATCGTTATGTTCACAGTTTATATTGTTAAATTCAGTATTAAAATGGGTTAAACGGATTGATCGTAGAAAATTATTTTTTCTATTAGCGCCCATAATTTACATTAAATTCTTTATAGAATGAGAAGAAAAATTTGTTGTAGACAAAGAAGAAGTCTCAAATGACTTAGCATCCCATTTTCATTGAGTTTCTTAAAGACGAGTTCGGTTTGCACGAATATTAAATATCTAAAGGTAGTTTGTTTTACTTTTAGAAATTATCCTTAAAGTTCATGGAGAGTTACAATGTTTTTTGACTAGTTGTCAAAATTAATAAGGCTAGTTTACGCAGTGCGAAGGCTGTTGAATATTTAATTCCCTTCTGCGTCATTTTAGACTTAGGAGGATGTAGAAGTTATGAAGGAAGAGTTATTAATACAATTGTTGCTTCGATAGTGTGTGTAGTGGAAGTTGATAAATGAAAACGAGTGGACTGTATAAAATTAGTTATCTATTCGATAATTAGAAAATACAAAGTGAGACCGTTTAGTACGAAATCGTTGAAAGGAGTGCGTCAGGACCCTCTTCGTAGCTGTTCGCTCGCGAACCGAAAATTGCTAGTTCGGTCTCCGATCGCTCGCTAGCTGCTGCTTCCGGTCACGCCGCCCGCGGGCATAGTCCGTACGTAGTCAATACTTTAAAACTATTTCCACATAAGTTTACACTCTGTTCAAAATCGTACAATAAAAATTTATTCAAAAACATTGCACCTTTTGCGCGTTAAACATTACACATAGCATTCGCCGCGTAACCGCATCGGTCGTAGGCTGTAGCGCGCAAGAATTATTGTGTTATCATATAAATAAGGATTTACAGGAACATCAAAACAAACTCCCGCGGGAGCCGGCAGCTCACAGCATTATTTTACGTGCAATTTGCTTGTTTTATTGCGTTTGCGGTGTACGTTAATATTACAGTGGTGTGCTGAATTCAATTTTTTACAAGTTCTCCGCAGTTTCTTGGTAAGGCTCTTTGTGTAAGGTTTTACTCGTATATTTTGGAATGTCGTGGTATGATAGTAGGTCTGTATGTCATTATAACATATCCATTCGGAGACGATTCTTAAAGCATTATTTATTAATCAATCCCTTCCTACCTAATAGCGTTTATTAAAAATCGTTGTTAGGCATCTCTAGAGAAGTCATGTTTTATCCTATTCAAGAGGGCTTAGCTTTTATGAAGAAGTAGGTACTTTAGTATCACAGATCCATAGTAAAAGGTTGCTTTCTCTATTTCTTTATTCACCGCGTATTTTTTTATTTCTACTAACCAAACAATATTAAATGACCAGGTCTCCTTATAATGTGTAATAAAAATAAATCCGAATCATTTTGGAGAATAAATAAGCAAAATAAATGTCTCGCGGCAATTTCGTAAACAAGTGTTTACTCCGCCCAACAATGTGTCTTGCATAATTCCGGGCGGGCGAAACCGGGGCGGGTCATTATATTTGTTTTACGACGTGATAACGCGCCGCCCGCCCAACTTTAGATCCTGTACATTTTGTTAAACCTGTGCTGTGCAGGAATTTGCTGGCTTTGTACAAATATGTGTTGCAAAGTATTTTTTGTTCCGGGTAAGTTTAAATTACTGACATTTTTTATTCATTTTTGACCGTGCGTCATCTATCAAATACGTAGTTCTAGTTCATATCCGAACTTGTAATGTAAAACATGTAGCCCGTCGTGTAACGCATGTTGAAAACACTAACCAGTCTAAAATAACGTCGAAACCACTATGTTCGCTCCACCTGACTAAAATAAACGGTATGCTGTTAGAAAACACGCTAACGTCTTCATAAATCATATTACGGGGAGAAACTTAACTGATCGGTTGTGCGACTAAAGGTAACTAAGTAAGGTTTGTTGAGTTATTAATTTTGGATATTACTTTTTAAAGCTTTTAGAATAATTGAAAAATAGTTACTTAAGTCCATTATTTGCCTTTCGATAGTTGCGTTAAAATTTCTGTACATACTAAAAAGTATGCTAGTCTTTGTGATCATGAATTCTAGCAACATTTTGTGAATAAATATTCAACTTTGATGGCCCATAGCTGGACATGTAGAAGTAAAAAAAAAATAAATTGCAAAAAATATTTTACACTGTGTCAAATGAGTTTGCTCGTGAAGTATGACGATCCTCAAAATTTAACCCTCTAAAAGCACCATCTGAATCCCGTTTAAAACATAAAAGAGCCATAGCTCATCATAGAGCTGCACCCTAAAAAATTACGAACGAGCCGCCCATTCGTTTCATTATTATACGTTGAGAAGGGACGAAAAAAGTTGGCGAACCAGGGCACATCTGGTGCTAATGTGTCCAACTTTTGATAAAGCCATAAAGCAAACGAGGATTGCATAGAAGCAGGTGGGTTTTAAAATTTTATGATTTTAAGTTTTTATATTTTTTATTTTAATCTAAGACAGCTAAATTTTTTTACTGGAAGTAGGTCCGGTAAGGTATCTGCTTATTGTGTGAATTACTTTTATGCACTTTTTGTTTTTCTTTATCTATTTATGCAATAAAGTGTAACATTCAACAAATAGGTTCAAATAAGCATGAAGTTACAAAGTTTTATCTGTAGGATACGGCTCTCTCTCTTAGAGATCTTGGGTGCATAATATAATTAACTTGTTACTGCTTCCTTACATAACCTGTTAGCAACATAGCACTTAACGAGCATATTGAGTAAAATGTGGTTTCGTATTTTATACCTTGACGCATTGAATATGCTCTTAATGAAAAATTAGCTTATAGCGGCTAGTTATTTGCAAATAAATAAAAAAATTACTGCTAGAAGGAGTCCACAACTGCCCACTGTTTGTTTCTTTGCTTCTGCTTCTCAACAGCTGTACCTAGCAAAGTGGTTATGCTTCTACATCTTTTCCTTTCACCACCGTCCTGCTCGGATAAATTGGCCGACCGACGATCGCTTTTTCATGTCCCACACTCGATGCTGAGCTTGGACTTTTTCAACTTTACTGTATGATTGGGGGAAATATTTGAACAAGTGTTGTACAAGATTGAGTGAGTAAACCCAAGTTTTCAGAAGCGTCTGGGTCAAAAATACGAGCACTAAAGACGTTAAAGGATTTACACTAGTCACGTGGTTTTAATATTTTTGAGTATTGTGGGCAGGCCGAATAGGTAGGTACCTGAATGTACGGCGCGTGGGGGTCATAATTATGGTCACTTTTTAGAGCGGCTCTGAATGGGTTAATCTGAAATTTAAGGGGATATTTTGGGTAAAAAATGTTTCATTCCGACAATCTCTATTCTATTTTTTGGTTGCATTTTTTTTGATATTTTGATACTACGATAACATAGTAATTCCGATAAATATTATTAACTTATAGGACCAATAAAAGAAATCATTCAGAAGATTAAAATAATTCTCTAATTCAGAGATGACGCACTTTAATTTCATAGAATTTCTTGATAATCTTCACATCTTATTTATCTTGATAATGTGACGACTCACACTGATAGATCAATCATCCCAATCATCCATATCAACAGATAAAGAAAATATTAGGTATTTGTCATCTTATGACTAGCTCTTACACGCGGCTCCGTTCACTTATCTCTTATTATGTAATATTAATTGTCTAATGCTACGAACGTATATTACTAAACTTGATGTGACTCTTTAATTTTCAATTATTTCATAATTTTCAGGATCAGTAAAATTCATATCACAAATGATTGTTAATAAAACTATTGACAAACAGACATTATATTTTTCTTTTTATACGTATTGTCTCTCGGATTATCTTTAAGTACTTTTCTCGAAACATATTTATGTTACATGTAAACATTTTGGATTGCATACATTCGTCTAGCATCGGAAAGAAAACACAAAATGGCTTCCATAGCGACATTCGCGTTGATTTTGTGCGTTTTATTTGTAAATACGCAGAGTTCCGATCTCAATGTTGGCACGAGTCTTAACAGTGAGCTGCTGTACTTGGAGGCTGTACAACTGTCGTCGATCCCTCTGAAGACCCGGACGAAGAATGTTTTCTATAACAATTCGACGAGCACAAAAATCATTAAGGTATGTAGTATTCACTAAAATACTCGATACTTAATATAAATATTTCCACCTAAAATTGGTTAAATTTAGGTCTAATATATTATATCAAAGCCTTAGTAAGCCCTCAGGAATCAATAAACAGTCGAGAAACAGTGAAACTCTGCCAAGAACAGACACAATATAAAATCAAATTCTAAATTAAATTCTAATACTAGGTGACCTATAAAGTACAACAGAGTCGTTTAGAGAAACCTTCATAAATTATTTAAATACTTGAGAGTTTACTAAAATCCTGGGCATCAGATAAGTGACTATTAGCTTGTGGTACCCTAATAAATGGTCGAATGAGACCGCGGTAACAATTTGATTTCTATTGTGTCTCGATTCGCTGGTATTTGATGGGTTAGATTATTCAAAACTAGGTGACTATAAACTTAACAGCTGTAGCTATAACTCATCACTACATACTACTCAAAACAAAGTCGCTTTCGTCTGTCTGTCCCTATGTATGCTTAGATCTTCAAAACTACGCAACGGATTTTGATGCGATTTTTTTAGTAGATAGAGTGATTCAAGAGGAAGGTTTTAATATAATTTTTACCTGTGCGAAGCAGGGGCGGGTCGCTAGTTGTTAATGTTTTGCAAACTTTCCAAACATGTTCCTTAGGCCCAGAACAGACGGTGAAACGCAACTGCAACGAAACTGCAACTGCTAGTTACTTTTGAGTTGCATTTAAGTTTCTGCCATAGCGTCCGTTAAGAGACCACACATGACGCGACCAGTTTGAAACTTTCAGTTTCAGTTTCATCCATAAGAATTATCAGAAAGTTGCAGTTTCGTTGCAGTTGCGTTTCACCGTCTGTTCTGGGCCTTACACTTTGAGCATACTCGTACAAGTAAAAAACACATTTAATAACCATCATCAACTTTTATATTTCCAGGGCATCACAGCCATAGACCTGGCCCGCTCCGAAGCGAAGGCCACTATTACCGCAGGAGGAGTAGGGTCCACCTTCGCCAACATTCGCCTGAAGAGCGTGAGGGGAAGCGGACTCAACTACCAGATTCAGATATTTGGCTAGATCTTTTTACTAGGCTGAGTTGTAGCACCTAACTTTAACCGTGACTATTGCCCGTATTCACAAACGATTAGGTGATCCGTTTGCTCTTTTGCCTCCTGCCACATAAAAAGAAACGATGCTTGCTTTAGTAACTAGCAAATCGAACGCACGGCGTTGAATAGAGCTCTGTTATTGGTTCGCGTGTGATCCTGTACGTCCACGCGCACTGTGAGACCTCGTAGTAATGTTTGTGAATTGTATGGGGTTTGGGAGATTTTTGACGTTTGTTATAGTTAAAGTAAGCTGGTGCAACTCAGCCTTAAATGGATGTAATAGAAACTATTTTACTACATTTACTTATAGTCTGATGTGCTGTACAAATAAAACACTTAACTTACAATTTAGCGTCCGTATTCACAAACATTACTATGAGACGCGTGGACGCACAGGGTCACACACGAACCAATCACAGAGCTCTATTCAAGGCTGTGCGTTCGATTTGCTGCTTCACATAAACAAGTATCTTTTGTGAATACGGGCGTACCTATTTACCTAAAAGAAAGCCCATACAATATTCAAAACACATAACCCAATAATGGAACCACTTATGTACAACTTTTGTACAATATACCCAAAACACACGACCTATTTAAAATTATAATGCTATGAAATAATAAATGAATTTTGATACCAATACTTTGTGTTTTTGTTGTTTATTTTTCATAAGAATATCAAATTATCAATCTTTAGTTTGAATTGATCCAGATGTGTTAATCAAAATCAAAAAATCAAAATCAAAATCAAAAATATTTATTCAGTTTAGACCACAAGTGGCACTTATGAACGTCAATAGAAAATAATAAAAAAAGAAAAGGTAGCCCTTATGGGGCACTTTACATGTCTCCTTATCTTTTGGGCCCTACCAGCGCTTCGAGACAAACATAAAATATGGCAAGTGCTGAGAAGAAACGCCGGAACAAACTCAGTCACCACTTATTGCCAGGAATTATCTAACGGTAAGAATAGTCAAATTTAAGTACATCTAATATGTGCAGACTGAACTGACCACGCATCCTTGTCATCAATATAGTCTCGAACCTTGTAGTACCCTTTGGACATAAGGGTCTTTTTATATGTATCTTAAATTTGTTTATTGGCAATTCGACAAGGTTGTGTGGTATTTTGTTAAATATGGTAATACATTTCCCCAAGAATGAATTACCTACCTATTTTATGCAACCTAAATGATGGAACAGCAAGATTATTTTGTTGTCACAGCTGGCATAATAATAACACGAAATTCTATAACATTACTTAACTGCTATGCGATTATTATAATACTACTGTGCAAACCACTTTAACCAGTTAACCAAATCGTGAAAGTGATATTGAAGTCGATAACTTTCATTTATTATTATTAACCATCAAATCCAAATAAAACTCATACAAACAAGTGAAGCGTCACTGCAATAAAATGTAATTTGCGTGACTCACGCAATGGCAAATGTTTTATCTGTGCAAATGTTAACATTAAATTCGACCACTCAGACATCTCCCGTATGGTCTAGTGGCTAGGATACCTGGCTTTCACCCAGGAGGCTCGGGTTCGATTCCCGGTACGGGAATACTTTTTTGCAGCTAGACCAGTATTAAAAGTACGCCATTTTTTGTCTTTCTTATTTAAAAATATTTTTAGTAAAATTTTGGTTACAAAAGATACCGCTCTCATCAAATAAGCAAGCCTTAGTCAATCAAAATATAGTTCGTAGTTTTTTTATCAAGTTTTGCGATTTAAAATTAAAATTAATTTATCAGAATTAATTAAATAATCAACTTGGATGCTTACAAAAAATGGCGCCAAATAAATCAAATCAAATCTACTGATCCGAGTGGAGCGAACAAGACAAATTATGGTAACTAAACAAATTTGTAAGGCAGGGCGTTTCCAATCGAAAGCTAAGGGTGCCATTTCTCAAAGGCTGATTACTAAGAACACCTGAGTCACAATAAAAATATGTGTAGAAGGCCATCGTGTGCCGTTTACCAGCTGATGCAAAGCGATTTCATATTATTTTTTATTTAAGTGACTCAGACATTAAATAAAATTGTTAAAATAAGAAACAAACAAATAAAAACAATAAAATATAACTTTTACTTTTTATTGCACCTCTTTTTTGGAACATTACCTACATTTCGTTTTCACTATCACTACAATCGAGCAAAACTTGTAATAAAGCCAGCAGCAGTTAGGTGTTGTAATAATTATAGTATGATTATAATAATTATACTATGACCAAGAACTATTAAATAAATGGAAGTGGACTCCTTCCATTGTTTTCCACCTATAAATAATTGATTAGTGCCCGTTTTCACCATCAATCCCTTATTTTTAAGTAACCCCTATGGTAACATATAACAGGCATTTTGTTTTCATAGGGGTCACTTAAAAAATAAAGATTGATGGTGAAAACGGGCATAGGTCACCCTAACGTCGCTAAAAGTGCACCTACTATTTATTTGTTTACTGTGGCCGAGTGCGAAAATATGGGTTTTATAATGAAACGCTTAGCAGGTTTTACATCTGTCCCGGTATGATTGATGCTGACATTTCGTTGTGATGAGTTTTGGAGACAGTTTGGAAGAAACAGCTTGAATTATGAATGGCGGAGAAATAAATATCTACAAACAGGGGAAGGGCGAAATGAAAGTCGCTTCGCTTCGCGTTGGCTTCATAATCGAAACTTTTGTTTAGCTGTTTTATTTGAAAAGGTTTACCAAATAAAACTACTTCTATTTTCTTTCAATCATTGGTATTTATGCTTAAAAATCAAGATTTTAAAGGGGTTTCACTTCTTGATGGAAGATAATGAGCTTAAAACTCAAACACCACACCTTCATTTATTTTGGCGTTCTAAAAAAAGTTGTCCCAAAAGTGTGCGCTAACAAAAATATATTTTTCGTGACAGTAGGTTTGCTCCAATGACATAATTGTTAACATTAACATGTAGTTAAAAAAATTGAAAGCCACAAAAACAAAATTTATTTCGTAATACAGTTTTAAAATGCTAAAATACACTGCTAAATACTGCCAACGAGCTAGGACATAAAACAAGTTAAAACAAAATGAATGGATAAAAAAACAAGTTAGTGAGGAAATTAAATAGGTTTTATACCGAATAGCGCTCCCACTAACTGCAGTCCTGGCGTTGTTCAGGTTGCAGTTGAATCTTACGCTCGTTTCATTAAGGACCGTTTCAATGGGTTTTGTATTTAAATGGTTCAATATAGCACAGTTTGGTTAACTTCACTTTGGTTTATGATTTAAGCCATGAACTACTGTGTGGGTTTGATTAAGCTCTTCCTTTCGTATTTTTATGCCTGTTCTGTGACTGTAAAATAACCTTGATATCAAATAATTTATCATCAAAATTAAAAATGGTACTAATATTAATACAAATACCTGAAACAATCTTAACTTTCTTAAGTTATATCATTTTCATTCTGCTCTTCAAACTAGGAAACTTAGCACAATAATTTCCATCTCAAGCAACTGGATCACGAGCACCCAAACATCGGCAAAGACAAGGAACATCTGTATTAATAACGGAATATTATTGTCAGGGCCGTAATTAGGCCCGAGCCGGACTTAGGGCAATATAGCCCGAAATATGGCCGCCGCAAATTTAAATTATTGGGACAAATATTCCAGGCCAACATAGCGCGGGGAAAACGGCCAATTTAATGGTTTACATATTTTGCAGGCTTTACAGAAACAATACATAATTTTTTCCAACAAATGCCTGACGGAAATACCTATTCTTTTTTTTACAAAACTTGTGTATTTATAATGTCATTGTGGTAAATGGTAGAAGTACCTTTAACTGTTTAATCTTTAGTCTGGGGAACGTCTATGTCCACGAAAATGATAACCAATTAGTGCTTGAAGAGAAATTTCTATTGTTAAACATCAACATACTTCGAAACTATTTTCATTCTGATGACGTTTATTTTCTAAGTCTATTTTTTTAATCATTTTCGAGTATTTTTGATAATAATTATGAACGTTAATTCTTGTTAATATTGATAACTGGCTGTTATTTATACGCTATGTTTACGAGGTTTGCTCAATAAACAAATGTATTTTAAAGCTATGAATTACACTGGCCTACAGCCATTTTGGTGCCGGGGATTTAAGACCTGATTTTAAGTATGTCTTGCATGGCGATATCAAAAATGTAATCAGTTTTTCTCTATCAGCTCTAGTTCCCGAGATAACTAAAAACAATTTTCACAATAAATATGTATTTTTATTAGCATTAAACATCAAGAAATTGTCTTTTGAGTGATTTTTTCGAATGAAACTTACTTGGGCAATCTCGCATGATTCTCCAACAGTAGTCGGTCATCATATGAGCGTCCCATCTTCCTTGGTAATTATTTTCCATTGTTTTTATGTCTTGGTGAAAACGTTTTCCTTGTTCTTCGCTTAGTTCTCCTAAATTTTGTTGGAATTGATCTAGTTTACTGTTAAAATAGTGTAATTTTATACCTATATAACAGCCTAAATCTATGAACTGAACCAGCACATCCTATACTAATTCTACATAGTTGTCAGCCTTATGCTTTCCCAGGAAATTTTGTACAACTGCTACAAAAGATTTCCACGCAAACCATTCCGCATCGTTCATAGAAATCTTAAATTTAGTGGAGTCTTTTATTAATACAGTTATTTGAAGTCCATCAAAAATACCTGCTTTTAGTTTTTCAGTACTTAAACTTGGCAATTTCTGTTAAATTAACTGGAAATATTGGCCATTTTCTCCATATCATAGGCACTCCAAGCTTAAAAACTTACGTGTGCCTTTCTAGTATCTTCGCAGATGTTCAACGCACATTATACATACAATTTGAGGCACCTACACCTTACCTTTGTATTGAATTTCAATACCGAAGTAGGCAAAATACAAAAAATTCGCCATGTTTTTAATAGTTTCACGCTGATATTTCAGTAGTATTCACCACAAACTTATCAAAATTAATCAGGATCGTTAACGCAACATCTAGACGTACTATCCATAGCTAAATAGTAACATAAAGTTTATCGATGTTATTGTAATAATGACTATTTGTGAACAAGACGGGAAAAAAACTAAAATGAGGGTAGTCGACAAACTAGAGCTGATGAGTTGAAATGAAGTATGTCAATATATTGTAGATTACCCATATTATCGATCGTATATACAAAAAGAGCTGCACCAAAAAAAAATTTTTTTTTTGCAGGCCTGTGTTATGAATGTCGTTGGCGGTTTAATAAGTGAAAGGTTTTACATATTTAACTTATAAAACCCTGTTGCTCTTGTACGTACAAACAGTCAAAGTATTTTCGGATTTGAAGTCTGTGTAATTTTTTCTAATATCGTGGCGACGTGTAATCTAAATTCTAAATTATGTATTACCTACCTATCTACATGGCATATTGAAACTATACATAATATTAATATTTTTATTGGAATGTTAACAAAACTTGCCTGTATCAATTACTAGAATAAAAACTCTGTCTGAGGGCATACCTAAAAGAACT